CTGAACATACCTAGATATTAATTTTCGAGCGTCTGCTTGGTATCTTAATAGGCTGTTGCCGGATGGTAAGAAGTTTGATGGATGGAGATGGAATCTATACATGTTTGTACATATAGCTACAATAAATCCTCAACGCCTCTAATTAGCGGACGGAAACCCCCTAGTCCTCAGCCATCAATATACACGGGACAGGTCACGTCGGAGGATAGTATTGACCATCAATTGCAGGCGCAATGATCCCATAACCCCACCGCTTCAATGGTTGTGCTACTCAGCCGTCTCGTTCCAATCCAAAGCAGCGAGCCATTATAATCAGCATCTCCTCACTTCTTCTTTCCGCGGGGTGGCGCTAAGTGGGCTTCCGACGCCCCAACTGCATAGCCAGCAATCAAATCGGCCAGGACATCACCGCTTCCGGTATCCTTAGCCGCACCACCAGCATCCTTCGTAGCCGTCTTCGCCCCCTCCCCCTCCCCGGCCCCGGCCCCCTGTGTCTGGGGCGTCGTCTCCTCAACAGCGGTCTCGACGGCCGTGTCCCAGCCGCGGCCGAAGCGCTCGCGGAAGGCGGCGAGCTTGCCGGCCTCGTCGACCTCGACGTTCTGCAGGCTCTTCTCGTGCGGGTTCCACAGCGCGTGGTTCCGCGTGTCCTTGGTGCTCTTGTACATGCCCAGCGGCGACGCCGTGCGCATCGTGAAGGTGCTGCCGTCCGACAGCTGCACCAGCTGCGTGAAGGCGTAGGGCCGCCGCGGCCGCCGGATGAGGGTTGCTGCGCGGCTCGGCGTGTAGGAGAGGGGCGTGTGCGAGGGCGTTGTTGGTGTTATGTGTGGTTGTGAGAAGGGCAGGGATGTTGTGGGACGCCGCGGGAGGGCGCTTGGGAGTCTTGTTGCCATTTTATGAGGTTTGGTTTGGTTCGTTGAGGAAGAGGGTGGGCTGTATGAATTTGGGAGATATATCGACTCGATCGGATTGCTTGGGTTGAACGGGTCGCAGCTCGCTGTGACGATGATAGTACCGTGAATATGTGAAGATGAAATTAAGGAATATAGCGCAACCTCCTATTGCGCTTGACACCCTGTCCTCGAAGTCCAATGCACACTGCGCTCGTCGATATTGAAACTTGTAGATTAGATGTTAATTGAAGCCCATTACCAGATTTCTAGGGTCAGTACCTAAGATTTTAGGATGATCGGCCCGCCGACAGCCGCCCATAAGAGGTAGCTTGTTACTGCAATACCAGGGTCTCCTTATCGCTATCGCAGGCCCTGTAGTTCGTTATGCAGTGCGGCTACACCCCTGTCCCATTAGGTAGCTCTTCCAAAAAGTCGAATTTCTGACGACATTGCGCATTCATCCTCCAGCGGACTGGTGCAGATTCACACCAAGGATCCAAATCTTGGCTCCTGTTCTTCTCTATGCCATTCATGGACTGAGATGCAGAGTATCCGTGGCCTACGGCGGGCAATCGCGTCCACGAGTCCACGTCATGCCTTGCTTTATTCTCCGCGTCGGCGCATCGCGAGCTCCGTTATTCGGCGCGGCGTAAGACAGACACGGCGAGACCATGAAACCGAACGGCCAGCTGCGCTTCGAGAAGGAATTAAGGCCCAGTCGGGTACAACGACTCGGGAGCAAAAAGCTCATGCTTTCAGAAAGATTGTTGGAACTACAAATCAAGACGCAGACAGCTGGAATTCGACTAAGGACAAGCTCGAAGATGCTGGCGTCGTTCTTGAAGAGTCAGCCAAAGGCGAAGACCCGACCCGAGACCTCGGAGACCTCGGAGACCTCTGCAGCGCCGTGACGGCCACCATGGCAAAGCTTCCGCACCCAGCCGTCGTCATCACTACTCTCGATCGAACATACAACGCCCAAGCATTTGCTGGGGTGCCGGTCGAGGAAATGCGACATCCCATTGCGCGGGGGGTTACTGTCTCCTCCCTCACGTCTCTATGCATCCGACCGCGGCCCCACGTCATGTTCAACATGACGCTGCCCAGCACCATGTATGAAGCCCTCATTACATGCAAGGACTTTAATGTCCACGTCCTAACGCCGGACGACGCCGGCGCGCGCGTCGCCCGCGTGTTCACGCGTGGTAATCGCTTACCCCTGCCACGTACCGGAAGAGCCGAATCCTCTGAGTCTGGCGTGGATGTCGATGCCGATCTGGGCGTGTTCGTGGGGCTGAAAGACGAGGGCTTACATCATGTCGAGATCGCGAATCGGGCTGCGTGGCACGAACAATTTCGGAATCATAAACAGAGAGGTCTTTTGCTCACCCCGTCTACACGCCATGGATATTATCGTGCATTGCCACATCCGGAGGCCGCCGAGCCTGTGAGACAGCTCCATCACGTGCCGTGTCTGCGTTCTAGGGCAATCATGGAGGTGCTAAACTGCCGTCTTGTGAGCACGATACATCCGGAGCTCCCGAACGCCGGAGAGAATGTCATCATAATAGGCGAGGTTGTGGGTGTTACATTCCCTACGGAGTCCAACGGGGAGCCTGATCGAACTCCTGTCGCCTTAAGCTACGCCAACAGAAAGTACCGGTCAGTGGGTGACGCCATTGAGATTGTTTGAGACGCGTGCTCTTGAGAAAACGAGCCGCGGCTGTCCAGGGCGACAAGCTACGCCACATCATGACTATATAATGAGCAGTATGACGCTAAGAAATGATAGGAAGGGCCCAATACCAGGGAAGGCGAACATAATAGACGAAAACATACACGAAAGAAAGTATGAAGAAAACGCCGGTCTAGAGGGTAGTGGCAGCTCAACATTACCCAATATAGAGGTGGAACACAAATAGCAGCATCTTCATGTGCGAGTTTGTTGGTTTATATGTGGATTCCGTCTTCAGAACCGGGATATTGAGCTATCCCGTCATTGCATCGAGTAAATGCCGGTATTTCCTAGAGAATGGGAGCATAGGTTGCTTGTTTTATCAGAACGGCCACGAAATTTCACATTCAGCCGTAGATTAATCCATAGACAAATATTTCGCATAGCGATAACCACTGTACAAAGCCAGTGTAGTATATACGTATAGACGGCTGCATATAGAAGAGGATCACTCTGCTCTGGTAGAGGGAATATTATACTCATTATTCTTACTTAGACTATCTGTATCCGTAGGAGGCACATTTACACGACGCCGTGTCGTAGCATTAGGAGCCGGAAGAACTGATTCCCATCGTATCAGCAGTGATGGTTTTGATCTAGTCTTATAGTACAAAACCGCCGGTGATTCCACCTAGGTTTCAGCTTCCTTCGCATTTAATGGTTTCGCCAGTCCTAACACCTGGGCAACGACTACTTAGGTCGATTGGTGAAGGTTGTCCGCAGTTCAGGTTTACATGCTGACCACCACAGTGGACCAATTGCCAGACCAGTAAACACCGTATCATCTTTCATGAGAACTTGTCTCAATTTGATCAATATCACGCAGGTCGGATTGCCTCGCTGAGAGTCCGGACCGAAGACGCCACTTGCCCCAAAGCCATGATCAAGGACCCGAGGACAATGGTCAACGCCGCCATGAGGCTGAAGAGAATTAACAAACCACCGATGGCGAAGAGCCAGGCGGCGGTGGTGGCATTCGAATTTTTCGTCACTGGTGTTTCTTCGGGATTTGCGTAGGTGTCCGGGTCCATACCAACCCCGGCCGCGGTTGCTTCGACGTCGTGGGGGGTTGTTGATCTCGGCCTCGTTTCGTAGCCATTTGCACCTTGATGTGTCGCTATATCTGCTTCGTCTTCGTACCCCAGGCTTGGTGGGCGCATTCCTCTCGCAGTCGGAGCCCGATGGATATGTGAGCCGTGCATTGCATGGCTTTCCCAGTCCCAGGTCATTGTTTCTCCTCTTTTGTCGTAGGGTGATTGATAGGTGCTTGATGTGTGATGTGATGCTGTGAGAGTGGTTTCTTGATTTATTAGGATATGCTAGACTGATTCTGGAAGTGAGGCTGTTTTGATGATGAAGAGGCATGAATATGAGGTTTGGGGGAAGGATCTCGTTTATATACATGTACCTGAACAGAAATCTTCATCTTCTCTGCAGGGCTGAAGTGTTTGAGTGTGACGACCGAAGACAACGACAGAACAAGACACTAGGAGAAAGACTACTATGGTATCGCGAAGTCTCACCTGTCCATAGAACTGGGTAAGTCTCACTTTTGTGTCGTATACTCTGCTGCCAGTGCATCGTAAGGGCATATATGTGCTCATGCCGTTGCACGAAAAGTCTAACTTCCTTTGTAGACCAGCTCTTGACTGCACAATCTACACTGATACTCTTTGTTCTGAGGGAGTAATGTCGGGACACCCTCTAACCAGACATGGGGGTTTCATAAGGCTTAGCTACCTGACTAAATAATGTGAGCTTCAATCAGGTCTTCTGTCTCACTCTGTTGTTTAGAGTATGACTGACAGCATAGATCAAACATGCGGTTGCTTGGGTCCAGCACGGCATGAATGCTGGACTAGTCTAGCAAATGAGTGATTTCTAGTCACAAGTAGATACTCAGGCTACAGAATAAAGCCAGTATCAACATTTATATGTCGCTCGCAGACATTCCCTACACTATTGAACAGCATTTACGTGGAAACTAGCTCTAACAACTAGAGTCTGCTACGCCTACCACCATGACTTTCTGACTACAACTGCCCGTAAAACAGCAACAAGAATCGACTATTGTTAAGAAGCACTCGCCGCAACTGTTATTGTATTTTCCTTTGCTCTAAGAGATGTGCTGTCTGTATAAGAGTGAATCGCTTGGTTCCCTGGCATAGTATTTAACACCTTTCCGTGAATCAAAGGAGTAGTTTCCCAAGTAAGCTGTTTATAAACACCACCTGAAATATAGATATGAAACTCAATACAGCAAGTGAAGAGGATATGGGAGGGAATCTATAAAACAGAGCTATGTGAAGCCTATCCAATTCTTGTTATATAGCATAATATGATCAAAACCGACAGATTACTGAGAGCAGCGCTAGGGTGTTATAGTATAGTGGTTAGTACGACACGTTGTGGATATACAATTGTATACAGCAGAGCCGTGTAGACCCAGGTTCGATTCCTGGTAACGCCAGACACCCTTCTTTTACTTGCAGATTAGCATTGTTTCCTTTTTGTTGTCCTTCTTTGTGTCCTTTCTGTTGTTAGTTTTTCTTTCTATTCTATTTCTGCTTCACCACTTAACCACCCAAGTAGTTATTTATATGGATGCGCTAACATGCACTGTTGACAAGCTGTCAATCCATGACATGGACACAAGCTAGACCTTAGATCGGACTGAGTCGTTGATGACAAGCTATGCCGGTTCTCGGCATCTAAAGGCAAAGGCAAGGGCAAGGGCTGAAGCACCGCGGGATCAAATCCAATCAGTAAGTATGAAGTTCTATCTACCTACCTTAGACTACCCATCGCATGTGCGCTGATTGATGTAACTAAGGTTGTCTCCTTTTGGCGTGCTTATGTTGCTTATGCTTATGTAGACTTGCTGTGCCGATCCTACCACCGCCTTTATCTACCTACATAGGGAGAAAGGAAGTGCCTACTACATATGACGATAGACGACCTGAGCAGTACCGGAACACGGCCTCGGCCACGGCTCTAATGGCAGTCTAAACAGTTCACCTAGACTGGGATGGGCAGTTGTTGCGTCCCGATTGAGCCAATTGTTCAGGCCCCCTTTACCCCTTTCGATAATCCAGGTACCCGGTGGATGTTGACGTAGATGCGAATTTCGGTCATCACATTTCGGCGGCATAGTGGCATAGCAAACTGATGACGTCAACCCCACAACGTTTCGACGAACCACTGTCGAGCCACTGTTCGAAAATTGTGGTAGCCTAACGTAAGACATGGAGGGGCGCCTGTAATTGTATCAGCCTGCTAAATTTGGGTGGACGATACAGCAGGGTACAGCTGTGAAAAGCGCCGAGGTCCAGAAGCGTGGGGCCTAATGCTTTCTTTATATTTAGCTGTCCCTAATTGATGCTGTTACGCATTGCGCTTTAAATAAGTCCTAATTATGAGTATTCCAATTTTAACACCTCTTCCAGTCAGATAATTCTCTGGGAAAGTTGCTGTAGTTATTATTGCCCTTAGGGATTCTTCCATTTCTCCATTCCAGCTGTGTTATTATTAGGTCTACCGGCTACCTGGTATTGCGGCAGGTCCCCTTCTCACCCCACATCCATCACCACCACCGATCCATCTATCGTTACCTTCGTCATCGTCTACTAGCTTCACTTTTATACACGCCATCCCTGACGAAACTCAGCACCGTTGTACCATAAGTCTACTTTCGCCGCTTCTACCTTCTTATTATACCCATTGTTTACTTTGTTTAGCTGCGTATTGCCTCCATCCCATTGGCTGGTTGGGGGGAGGTTCAGCAGTTTCAGCGGGCTCAGGGTCTTCGCACACTATCAAGGTACTTGCCTGCATTTACTGCTGATCGATTGTGCGACTGCGCGACGACTGTGGCATTGCCGATTCACCTAGTGTCACCCGCGGCGGCATAGCGAAGTCGCGACTCGCCTCGCCTCGCCTCGGCGCTGCTACGATCGGCACCATGTCGTCTACCAACATCGAGACCAATGGCGGCGCCCACGATCACATCCTGCGGCCTCGCCCGCGCAAACCCCAGCACTCGCAAGTGGTCGAGCTCAACAAGCAACGAAGCAGCAGTTCTATCAACGGCCTTCTCGACGCGCCGCACGAGCTGGCCTCGAATGTGACGAGGTACCTGCCATCCATTTGCTGCCGCCCTCTACAAGCACACATGTACACATGTCTGACTCTTCTCTCGCAGTGGTCGCTCGACTCCCGTCGCCGAGAACGCGCCGGCCTCGACCAAGGCCTTGTCGAGCGCGCGCAAGCAGGTCCGCGCCGAACAGCGACGACGGCTCTTCCCGACCACCGAATTTGCCTCGCGCGTCTCCCACTTCGACCCGAACTCGGACTACCGCGACTTCCATGGCTTCTTCAACCTCTTCTGGATTGGCCTGGCCATCATGGGCATCACCACCATGCTGCGCAACTACAAGGACACCGGGTATCCCTTGCGCGTGCAGATCTGGGCCCTGTTCACCGTCAAGCCCTGGCACTTGGCCATTGCCGAGTTCTTCATGGTCGGGAGCACTGCGGTCAGCCTGCCGCTGCATCGCCTGTTCAGGAGGAGTCGCGGCGCCTTGACCTGGAATAAGGGCGGTATGGCCGTCCAGAGCATATACCAAGTCGTCTGGTTGGCGTTTTGGATCGCCGTGCCTTTCATCTTCAACTGGACGTGGACTGCCCAGGTCTTCTTCGTGTTGCACAGCATGGTGCTGCTCATGAAGATGCACTCGTATGCCTTCTACAATGGCCACCTCTCGGAGACCGAGAAGAGGCTACAAGACCTCGACCAACCGGGCAGCGCCTCGAAAGAGCCTGCCTACACTTACCCCACGGTCGAAAACCCCATGGGTACCCATAGACATAGCGACGCAGCTCTTGACGAGAATAGCGACAGCGACGGCGAAGCCCTCTCCCAGCTGCGTGACGACCTCGCTCGAGAGCTGACAAGCCCCATTGGCAATGTCACGTACCCGCATAACCTATCATGGGGGAACTACATTGACTACCTTCTCTGTCCCACGTTGTGCTACGAGCTGGAATACCCCCGCACCAAGTCCATCGATTGGACGAACCTTGTGGCCAAGATAATCGCAACCTTTGGCTGTATCTTCCTCCTGACGGTGATCTCGGAAGAATTCATCCTGCCTGTCCTGCAGGATTCGGCGGCGCGCCTCGGCAACACCGCGTCGGCAACGGAGAAGCTGATGATCCTCCTGGAGTCGATTTCGTGGCTGCTGTTCCCATTCATGCTAACCTTGCTCCTCGTCTTCCTCGTGATATTTGAGTATGTCCTAGGCGCCTTCGCCGAGATCACGCGATTCGCGGACCGCCATTTCTACAGCGACTGGTGGAACTGCTCCGACTGGATGGAGTTTAGCCGCGAGTGGAACGTGCCTGTATACTCATTCCTGCGACGCCACGTGTACGCGACCTCGAAACCTAGCATCGGTCGCAACAATGCCACTTTCGTCACGTTCCTCGTCTCCGCCATCGGCCATGAAATCGTCATGGCCTGCATCACCAAGAAGCTGCGCGGCTACGGCTTTGTCTGCCAGATGCTGCAGCTTCCTATCGTGATGTTACAGCACACACGTTGGGTCCGCACCCACAAGACAGCCAACAATGTGCTCTTCTGGATCAGCATGATCTTGGGCCTGAGTCTGGTAAGTCATGCTATAGCCATTCATACGGACGTCACGTTTCGTTTCTGCTTTGTTGAATTGCATGTGACGTGTCAGTAAGGCTAACCTCGATAACACAAATAGATCTGCTCCCTTTACGTTTTAGTATAAATCGGTAAGACTTGTGCCCGGGATTCAAACACGGCAAATAGACATTGATACATTCATCCCACGAGAGAAAGACTTCGGGGGTACAAAATGAAGCAAACCCACATGAGGATGGGACCGCAATAAGACCAGAAAAATAGGGCTGTATATACTGGCATCCACGTTGACCGTGCTTCTGTTTTCGGCCTTTTCCGCTTTTATTTGTATGATTACATCGCGAAGATACCACTATGCAACAAACCTTCTCATGATGTCTCCAAACTAGTATTAAACTGTTTGTTTATCTAGAGATGAGATAAAATGAATATCCAAAACATTCAACAACCAATTCACTTGCTTGCATTGTTGGTAGTCATAATCGTGATCTTTACGGCCACTATATCAACCCGCATGGTGACCGGTACGTACATGAGATCACACCAAAACTAACTGACTCCCTCGATTCCCGCGTACCAATAACATGCTGTGCGGCCCCCAAGGATGAATTGTCCACGCGCCTAACATTTGTCCTACGTTCTACGATCCAGGTAGGATAGGTGAGGGGAGGGATAAGCAAACAAGCAAACAAACAGACAAGCCGTGGAGGTACCATAGACATGATACCTACCAGGATCAATGAGACATAATATACTAGAACACGAGGAAGAAAGAAAAGGGAGGGATTAACAACGATTCTACCTACACCCACCTGTCTATGTACGTACTACTACCAACGTTACGTACTTTGCGTGAGCACATACATGGTCAGTTAGTCACGATGAAGAACGCGAGTTGTGTGCTGCTACGATAATCGAAATCCAGAATTCTACCTAGTCGACATTCTATGTAATAACTGGAACCCAAAAAAAAAGGCAAAAGAAACATACATACAAGATACACAAGAGTCCTCCATAATACTAGTAGTATAGTATACAACCCTGCGGTATCATCCAGTGTAGCAACCGTACATTGCAAATCACCCCATTTACTCTGTTCTATACAAGCAATACAATTCCGTTTTTACGCCGGTTTAAAGAAATAAATATGATGGGAGGCGGAGAAGTGGCAGCAATAGTCTACTGCTCGATTCATGATTTTCATTCATAACGGATACTTGAAGTCCTTAGCGGAAGCCGCTAGCTAGCCACCACGCAAAGAAGATAAGAATTGCGCTATGTTATGTATGTATGTATGTATGTGCGTATACGTAGGTATGTATGTACGCTTTCGTCAAAGACTCCTTCCTAGTGGAGTGAGGCTCCCCAGTTAGAAAACAACTGACAGCCATCAGAGAGAGAGAGAGAGACATGTGCCGCTTCATAGCCCGCCCGTCCGTCCTCTCAGCTTGTAGGGTAAAAAATGAGTGTTGGCAAAGGGCCAAATGGATCCCCACCTCGTCTTCAGAGGAGAGCCTCTCGAAGACAGCATCACAAAAATCATGACCAGATAACCAGAACTATGCCCACTGAATAGCCCAGAGCCGTCCGAGAACAGGAAAGCCTTGTTTTCCCGATAGATGCAAATGTGACTGTATAATCTGGTAGGGTGTGTGCGTCGCACAGAGCACAGGAGATGAGGAGACAACCAGAATACGACAGAAAAAGCCGAGTATCATATTATGATTTGTCATAAGTGTCGTAGAGCTGTCATGGTCCGAATGCTAAGAACAGAAGAGCCGGTCAGAAGCTATGGCATC